GATCCTCTGTGCCTGGGAACACAGGCGCGGGAAACGATACGTCTTTGTCTCCCAGGCACAGAAAAGCCCGCCAAAATATCCAGTGCCCCAAATAGCCAGTGCCCCACCCAGGGCCGGCCTTAGACCATTAGGTGCCCTGTGCGAAAAGTCTTCACGGCGCCCCCCCCCACCAAGTTGCCTGTATACAGTCACACAAACAGTTACAAGCAGACAGTCTTATACGCTCAGTTACAGGCAGTCACACACACACACACAGTTACATGCAGACAGTCACACATGCTCAGTTACAGGCACACAGTCACAGAGCTAAACACACAGTTAAATGCAGACAGGCACACACAGTTACAGGCACACAATCACACACAGTTACAGGCACACAGTCACACACACAGTTACAGGGAGACAGTCACACTCACAGTCACAAGCAGCTAGTCACACATACTCCATTACAAGAAGACAGTCATTCATACTCGGTTACAGACATGCAGACTCTCACGCACGCTGATAGGCACACACACTCAGTTAAAGGCAGATAGTCACACATACAGGCACACACAACGGCACAGCTACAGCGACACATACAAATGGAGACACAAACAGTTACAGTCACACACACAGGCAAAATGTCACACACACACAGAGTCCCACACACAGACAGTCACACATACACAGGGAGGCAGTCACACAGACAGACAGTCTCACACACACAGACAGGCAGTCACACAGACAGTCACACACACACAGGCAGGCAGTCACACACACATACACAGGCAAACAGTCACACACAGGCAGGCAGTCACACACACAGTCAGACAGTCACACACACAGGCAGGCAGACAGTCACTCACACCGGCAGGCAGGCAGTCACACACCCACAAACACAGGCAGGCAGACACACAGGCAGACAGTCACACAAACAGGCAAACAGTCACATGCAAACTTACCTCTTTCCAGTATGGCTGGAAGGGTGAGTGGAAGCAGTTCGTTGTTGGGGAAGCAGGGACTCCTTCCTTCTTCCCTCTTCCTGTGCAACAGTTACCAGGGGCTTCAGGTAGGTATTTGCCCCGCCGCTCGGTAAGCACCGTCCCCTCCGCCTCGATGTAAAAAAAAAAAAAAAGTTATACCCGGGTGGAGAATGATGAAAACCTAACCTGGGTACCTGTTTTAGCTCCCGTGCACTCCTGTCACCCGGCCATGTGCAAGCTGTGTCGGCCACATGGCGACCCCAGGTCCATGGCACCCTATGCGGCTGCACAGTGCGCACACCCCTGGCCCCACCAACTTTCGGAACCCTCACATGGGTACATTTCCCCGATGAGTCTCCGTTCGTAAGGTGCCAGTGCGAGAACCATACCATAAATACACAAATGAATGAACAGGGGTTCTGCCACAGGCACCAAAGATGTAGTTTCATCACATTACTACCCCTTAGTTCCATGGTGTGGCATACCCACCTAGACCCCGACGGGTTGGCTTGGGGATGCCCAGGCAAGCAATCAGGGTTCCAACTCAGTCTGCCTGGATAACCCATCGGCGTTGCCGTTATGTTTACCTGGCCTGTATTGCATGGTGAAGTTGTAGGGTTGCAGGGCCAGGCTCCAGCGCAACAAACGGGGGTTATCCCCAGCAACACGGTTCAGCCAGATGAGGGGGTTGTGGTCTGTCATCTAGGTAAAGAGAAGACCATAGAGATAATGACCATACAAGAGCCAGGCATTCCTTCTCCACAGTGGCATAGCTGACCTCACTGGGTAATAGTTTCCTTTATGCCTCCGGGTGCTCCACTCCATAGTCCCCCACTTGACTTAGCACTGTTCCCAGCCCAAACAGAGGCATCTGTGTGTACAAGAAACTTTTTAGTAGGGTCTGGGGTGGCCAACACAGGTGCCTCGCTCAGCGCAGTTTTGAGTCTCTGGAAAGCGGCTCGCACTCCGGGGACCACACTACTTGTCTGGGAAGGGACTTTTTAGTCAGGTCAGTGAGGAGCTAGACAAGGGTACTATATTCAGGGACAAATTTGCAGTATTAGCCTGTGGTCCCTAGGAAAGCTAATACCTGCGTCTTAGCAGTGGTGTATCCTGGTTTTGTGCTGCCCTAGGCAGGACAAAACTCAGGCGCCCCCTCCCCCCATGCCACCCCACCTTCTAAATACACACATTCACTGACAGATACGCATACACTAGCTAACAGAAACACACACACACTAACAGACACACAACCACTAACAGACACACACACACACACTAACAGACACACATACACTAATAGACACACACACACTCACATTAACATATTTTTTTTATTTATTAAATTCCCACCCCCCCCCCAGCCTCCTTACCTTTAGGTATGCTGGGGGGGGTTGGGGTGGCGGGGTTCCCTCTTCCTGGTGGTCCAGTGGCTGCTGGGCGGTCGGGAGGCGATGGCAGGCAGGCGGCTGGCGAGGGAGCTCTTCCTCTGAGCTCTCTGCTCAGCTCCCTCACCAGCCGCCCTCCTGATCGGCATGTCTGTTAGCCGCGAGGCTAACAAGGCATTTGCCCTGGACATTTGGGGGGCGGCTTTTTTTGCAGCCCCCTGGAAAATGCCGCCCAAGGTAAATGCCTTGTTTGCCTCGCGGCTAAAACGCCCCTGCATCTTAGTATGGGGCTGTGACCGGTTGGCAATAGCCTCTACCTTGGCAGACTCTGGTCGCTGTTTGCCAGAACCTACCCTATGGCCGAGGTACTGCAGCTCAGCCATACCAACATGGCACTTGTCAGGCTTCAAAGTGAGTCCTGCTGCCCAAATTCGCTTCACTACCATAGATAAGTGTCTCAGGTGGTCCTCCCATGTGCGGCTGTAGATGGCTATGTCATCTAAATACACACACACACAAAGTCCTGAAATCCCTTTAGAAGCCTGTTGACCATCCTCTGAGAAGTAACTGGTATAGCCCAAATGGGGTGATGAATGCCGACTTAGGGATGGCCGCCGGCTCCAGTGGGATTTGCCAATAACCTTTTCGCAGATCTATGGTAGTCAAGTAATTTCCCCCAGCCATGCGATCGAGCAGCTCGTTGACCCTGGGCATGGGGAAGGCATCCGTGACTGTCCTATTCTTAAGTTTCCGGTAACCGATTCAGAAGTGAGTCGTACCGTCTCGCTTGGGTACCAGCACTACCAGAGAACCCCAGGGACTCTGGGATGGCTCTATAACCCCTAGCTCTAACATCTCCTGAATCTTATTCAGCATGTTATCCTTGATTGCTTCAGGCACACAGTAGGGTTGTTGCCATAGGGGAGTTTCTCCCTAGGTCTCAACTCCATTAAACCACTCCGTTAGGTGGACCACAGCGGAGGTGTACCCTGGCACTGTTGAGTACATGTTTCTCATATCCCTGGAGCAGCTGGGTTGCCTCTGCCTTTTCTAAAGGATTTAGGTTCTCTCCTAGATTGACCTGTTCTACTGTACCCGGGGACGGGGCGAGCAAATCTTCTGAAGAAGGGGCACATGCTGCAGCCGCATCTTCTACCCTCTAGAAGTAGGGTTTGAGAATGTTCACATAAAAGGATGTCCGTATCCTTTCATCTGAACATTTCCCTTTGATGTAGGTAGTGTTGCTTATGCGCTCCACTACCCGGAAAGATCCCTGCCAGGCGGCCTGAAGCTTGTCTTTCTTAGTTGGATTCAGGGCTAATACCTTCTGTCCTATTTCTAGAACCCTATCTCGGGCACCCCTATCATACCACCTTCTCTGGTGCCGCTGAGCCGCTTGCAGACTCTCCCTGCAAGCGATCCCTCAACTCCAGAACGTACGGCATACTAGGTATTCCTTCCTCCCCTGTGTTACCCTCCCAGTGCTCCTGTATGATATCCAGGAGTCCCTGTACTTTTCTCCCGTAAAGGAGTTTGAAGGGGGAGAACCCTGTAGATGCCTGGGGCACTTCGCAGTAGGCAAACAGAAGATGGGGAAGGAACCTTTCCCACTGCTGACAGGAGGCTGCGAACATCGTAAGCATCTGCTTAAGCTTGCCATTAAACCGTTCACAGAGTCCGTTCGTCTGTGGGTTCGACAGGGGTTTTACGCCACAACATTGCCATAACTCACAGTTGCCGTAAACTGGGTCCTCTGGTCTAATAGAATCTCCCTAGGTAAGCCTACCCTAGTAAAAAAAAATCACTAGGACTTCTGCCACAGTCTCTGCCTCTATGTTAGAAAGGGCTACACCCTTCGGTTATCTAGTAGACTAATCTACCGTAAGGATATAGCTCTTTCCCGAGGTGAAGGGGGCTTAATAAGTCCACCACTACCCAGTAGAATGGCTCCTCTATTGTGGTTAAAGGGTGAAATTTGGCCTTTGGGTGATCACCCCTCTTCCCTATCTTTTGGCAAGAGTCACACGTCCTGCAGTAATTTTGCAGGTCCAGTGTGATCCCTGGCCGAAGAAGGTCTGGGTTAGCCGGTCTTTAGTTTTCTGGACACACAGATGTCTAGCTAGAGGAATGTTGTGGCTGAGCTTGAGTAGCTCAGCCCTATATTTATGGGGCAATACTGTTACGGTTGACCCCAGGCTGGCTGAGGGTTGGACTGCTTAGATGTCCTGGTTCCT